CTAACCTGCTGAGCCCTTGAAGGAAGTGGAGATGGTCCTTTTAGGGGTTTATGTGCTGGATTCCAGAAAACAGGCAAACAGGGTCAATACATGCATCTTTATTTTTGTGTCCATTTTAACCTGGTCAAGGAAAATTTCGACAAAAAGTCCACAGTACTGGACCAAGATGATCTCTGGCTGTGACCCTCTTGACGGGAGCACTTTCTGTTTTCTGAAAGAAAAGAAAGTGTCTCCGTTAAGAGGGTTACTGTCTGAGAAAAGCAACACTGAAGTTGATTCTGATCTTGGTAATACATTTGTAGAGCATACTTATAGTCAGACTTGGATATGGTGGGGTTTTGCTTTTGTTTTGTTTTATTCAAAGACAAAATATTTGTTGCCCAGGCTCGAGTGGGTGGAGCTTCCAGCCTAGATGTCTTGGGCTCAAGTGGTCATCTTTTATTTTTATTTTTGACATGGAGTCTCACTCTTGTTACTCAGCCTGCAGTGAATGTAGTGTCACTGTCTTGGCTCACTGCAACCTCAGCCTCCTGAGTAGCTGGGATTACAGGTTCATGCCACCACACCTATCTAATTTTTGTGTTTTTCTAGAGTCAGGGTTTGACCATGTTGACCAGGATCTTACCCACTTAGGCCTCCCAAAGTGCAATATTACAGGTGTGAGCTTTCACACCTGGCCGTGTCTCTGACCTTTCTGAACTAAGAAAGTATTCTTTTGCAATTTACCCTGAAATGTGAATGTTTAGGATATTTGCAACCACCACCACTCTAGTTTGGAGATTTTCATTACCCCACACAGGCTTATTCCCATGTGCAGTCAGTTCATTCCCCACTCCTCCACCCAGACCCTGCAGCCTCTCCGCATCTCTAGCTGTGGATCTGCCGCTTGTGGGCATGTCACCTAGGCCAGTCTTGAATGGGTGGCCTGTTGAAGATAATGGGTGGTCCTGGCTGTCTGCAGTGTGAATATTATCACTGAAGGGTGGTCCCTGGAGGGAAGCAGGAGGCTGGGAAAACTGGAAAGAACATCCTTTGGGAAGGGAGTGTGGCAGGCAGAGCCTGAGGTCTGGGAAGCTCATAGGGGTGGCAAACCCCATATTCCTCCTTGTGAACTGCAAGGCGACCCCCCTGAGGCACTTGAAGGAGTGAAGGCACCTGGACTGGGAACACCAGGGCCCTGCAGCAGTGCAGGCAGGATGAGCCTAGGGGAGAGGAGTACCAGGCATCGCTGGCTAGGGACAGTTTGGGTTTGATCTGGACAGAGCAGGTGTCTTCTGGAGAGAGAGCTCCTGAGATTTTCATTCTGGTCTCTGGCTGTCTTTCAGTCATGGAATCTTACCACAAAGACTCTCACCCAGGGCCACTTCATTTGGTTTCTAGAGCCCAGTGGTCCTTCCTCCTTGGAAACTTTTTGGGAAGTTTGGGATCTGTGAGGGCGTCTGCAAAATTATAGAAACTCCTAACAGTCCCTTCCCTTTGCTGCCATCTCCATGTTCCTACCCACCTTTGGAAGGAGACCCTTAACTGAATTGCCAAAGGGGCCTTCCCAGGGCAGGGAAACTCAGTTAAATTTGTGTTTCAGATCGACAGTACATTTGAGGGGTACTTGAAGTAGAAATGATTCGCTGTTTAGGTGTGGGCATTGGTTTTTCCCAGTTAGAGGTGTGAGCCACCACACCTCACTCGTATGTGTGTATTTCTGTTCATTTTATTGAGGAGCTTTTAAGGCCTATCCTGAGGTCTATCCCTGAGGATGTTAATGTGTGCAACAATATATATTCTTCAACATCTTAGATTCCATTTTGGATGGTAAATGTCACAGCGGTCCATTTGGACTGTGTGTCCTTGTACTGGAACTCAATAGAACACTTGGGTCAACATCCATTGCTGTTCTCTAGAAATCCAGCCCAATTCTCTTGGGTAAATATAAGGTATGTCTAGTAGGCGTGGCTTCTTCTCTTTGGGGATGAAACTGAGGAGGATTTACCCTTGACGAACAAGACTAACCTGCTGAGCCCTTGATGCAAGGAACTGGAGATGGTCTTTTTAAGGATTTATGTTCTGGGTTCCAGTAAACATGCAAACAGGGCCAATGAATGTGTCTTTATTTTTGTGTCCATTTTAACCTGGTAAAGGAAAATTTCAACGGAAAACCCAGAGTGCTGGAGCAAGATCTCATGCTGTGATGCTCTAAAGGAAAGCACTTTCTGTTAGAAAGAAATGAATGTGTTTTCCTTTAGAGAGTTGCCGTCTGAGAAAATCAACGTTGAAGTTGTGGCTAATCTTGGTAGCACATTTGCAGAGCATTCCTATAATTAGAGTTGGATGATGTTGGGGTTCTCTTTTCATTTTGCTTTTTTCTAAGGCTGGGTCTCTTACCCAGGCTATAGTGTGGTGGCATTTCCAACCTAGATCTCTTGGGCTCAAGTGGTCATCTTTCATTTTTATTTTTGACAAGGAGGCTTACTCTTGTCACTCAGCCTACAGTGAATGCAATGTCACTGTCTTGGCTCACTGCAACCTCAGCCTCCTGAGTAGCTGTGATTACAGGTTCATGCCACCATGCATATCTAATGTTGTATATTTCTAGAGTCAGAGTTTGACCATGTTGACCAGGATCTACCCACTTTGGCCTTCCACAGTGCCAGCATTGCAGGTGTGAGCTTTCACACCTGGTGATGTCTCTGATCTTTCTGAATTAAGCAAGTAATCTTTTGCAATTTACTCTGAAATGTGAATGTTTAGCATATTTGTAACTGCCACCACTCTAGTTTGGGGGATTTTCATCACCATAAAGAAACTTATACCCATGTGCAGTTGGTACACCCCACTCTTCCACCCAGACCCTGACAACCACTCTGCTTCTCTCCAGCTCTGGATCTACCTCTTGTGGGCATGTCACAGAGACAATATCTTGGATTCCATTTTGGATGCTAAGATGTCACAGCAGTCCATTTTGGACTGTGTGTCCTTGTACTGGAACTCAATAGAACACTTGGGTCAACATCCATTGCTGTTCTCTAGAAATCCAGCCCAATTCTCTTGGGTAAATATAAGGTATGTCTAGTAGGCGTGGCTTCTTCTCTTTGGGGATGAAACTGAGGAGGATTTACCCTTGACGAACAAGACTAACCTGCTGAGCCCTTGATGCAAGGAACTGGAGATGGTCTTTTTAAGGATTTATGTTCTGGATTCCAGAAAACTTGCAAACAGGGCCAACGAATGTGTCTCTATTTTTGTGTCCATTTTCACCTGGTAAAGGAAAATTTCAATGGAAAACCCAGAGTGCTGGAGCAAGATCTCATGCTGTGACGCTCTAAAGGAAAGCACTTTCTGTTAGAAAGAAATGAATGTGTTTTCCTTTAGAGAGTTGCCGTCTGAAAAAATCAACGTTGAAGTTGTGGCTAATCTTGGTAGCACATTTGCAGAGCATTCCTATAATCAGAGTTGGATGATGTTGGGGTTCTCTTTTCATTCTGCTTTTTTCTAAGGCTGGGTCTCTTACCCAGGCTATAGTGTGGTGGCATTTCCAACCTAGATCTCTTGGGCTCAAATTGTCATCTTTCATTTTTATTTTTGACAAGGACGCTTACTCTTGTCACTCAGCCTACAGTGAATGCAGTGTCACTGTCTTGGCTCACTGCAACCTCAGCCTCCTGAGTAGCTGTGATTATAGGTTCATGCCACCACATATGTCTCATGTTGTATTTTTCTAGAGTCAGAGTTTGACCATGTTGACCAGGATCTACCCACTTTGGCCTTCCACAGTGCCAGCATTGCAGGTGTGAGCTTTCACACCTGGCCATGTCTCCGACCTTTCTGAATTAAGCAAGTAATCTTTAGCAGTTTACTCTGAAATGTGAATATTTAGCATATTCACATCTCACCACTCTGGTTTAGGAGAAGTTTATCACCCCACAGAGGCTTATTCCCATGCGCAATCAGTTCCACCCCACTCTTCCACCCAGACCCTGCAGCCTCTCCGCATCTTTGTAGCTCTGCCACTTGTGGGTATGGCACATAGACCAATCTTGAATGGGTGGCCTGTTGAGGTTAATGGGTGGTCCTGGTTGTCTGCAATGTGAATTTTACCACTGAAGCCTGGTCCCTGGAGGGAAGCAGGGGGCTGGGAGAACTGGGCAGAACATCCTTTGGGAATGGAGTGGGGTGGGCAGAGCCCGATGTCTGTGAGGCTCACAAGGGTGGCAAACCCCATGTTCCTGAGAACTGCAACTTGACCCCCCTGGGGCACTGGAAGGAGTGAAGGCATCTGGACTGGGAAAACCAGGGCCCTACAGCAGTGCAGGCAGGATGAGCTGAGTGGAGAGGAGAGCCAGGTATCGCTGGCTGGGGACAGGTAGGGTTTGATATTACCTGTACTTGGGTATTTTTTCTCATTTTATTGAGGAACTTTTTTTTTTTTTTTTTTTTTTTTGAGACAGAGTCTCACTCTGTCACCCAAGCTGGAGTGCAATGGCGCGATCTTGGCTCACTGTAACCTCTGCCTCCCAGGTTCAAGTGATTCTCTTGCCTCAGCCTCCTGAGTAGCTGGGATTACAGGCGCGTGCCACCACACCCAGCTAATTTTTGTATTTTTTTAGTATAGACGGGGTTTCAACATTTTGGCCAGGCTGGTCTCGAACTCCTGACCTTGTGATCCACCCGCCTCGGCCTCCCAAAGTGCTGGGATTACAGGCGTGAGCCACCACGCCCAGCCTTATTGAGGAACTTTTAAGGCCTAGCCTGAGGTGTATCCTGGAGGATGTTTGTGTGTGTGGCAATATATATTCTTCAACATCTTAGATTCCATTTTGGATGCTCCCATCAGGACTGTGTGTCTCTGTGCTAGAACTGAAGTGGACACTTGGCTCAGACAAAATTCATTTGTTGTTTTCTATATATCCAGCCCAATTCTCTTGGTTAAACATAAGGTATGTCTACTGGGCATTGCTTTTTCTTGTTGGGAACCAAATTCAGGAGGATTGCTGCTGCTGCTGCCGCTGCTGCCGCTGCTGCTGCCTCTTCTTCTTCTTCTTCTGCTTCTGCTTCTGCTTCTTCTTCATATTTTGCGTTTTAGGTTTTGGGGTACATGTGAAGAACGTGCAGCATTGTTGCATAGGTACATACATGGCAATGTGGTTTGCTGCCTTCCTTCCTATCACCTATATCTGGCATTTCTCCCCATGGTATCCCTCCCCAACTTCCCACCCTCCACTGTCTCTCCTCTAGCTCCCCCCCCGCCCCACAGACCTCAGGATTGCCCTGTGATGAACAAGGCTAACCTGCTGAGCCTTTGAAGCAAGGAACTGGAGACGGTCCTTTTAGGGGTTTATGTTCTGGATTCCAGAAAACATGCAAATAGGGCAAATAAATGCATCTTCATTTTTGTGTCCATTTAAACCTGGTCAAAGAAGATTACAGTAGAAAATCCAGCGTGCTGGAGGAAGAAGATCCCAGGCCGTGACCCCCTGGAGGGGCGTGCTTTCTGTTGTTTGCAAACAAACAAAGCTCATCCCTCTAGAGTGTCACCGTTTGACAAGAGCAACGTTGAAGTTGATGCTGATCTCGGCAGTACATTTGCAGAGCATGCTTATAATCAGACATGGATGATGTTGGGGCTCTGTTTTCATTTTTCTTTTTTCAAGACAGGGTCTCTGTTTCCCAGGTTGGAGTGGGTGGCACTTCCAACCTAGCTCTCTTGGACTCGAGTGGTCCTCATTTATTTATTTATTCATTTCTGAGATGGAGTCTGGCCCTGTCACCCAGGTTGGAGTACAGTGGGACAGTCTCCACTCACTACAACCTCCGCCTCCCAGGTTCCAGGGATTCTCCCATCTCAGACACCCAGTAGCTGGGATTACAAATGCCCTCTACCACACCCTGACAGTTTTTGTATTTTTAGCATAGGCAGCGTTTCACCATGTTTGCGGGGCTGGTCTCAACTCTTGGCTTCAAGTGATTTGCCTCCTTGTCCTCCCAAAGTGCTGGGATGATAGGCATGAGCCACTGTACCCGGCCTTTTTTCCTGATTTTAAATATGGGACCCATCATGAATTTAGGTGTCACCCTTATGCCAGGACCATTGTAATCTCTGTCATTCCATTTATTTTTTATGTGTGCTGCCAAAGCAAGGACATATGTGTAGAAATTATTATTTAAAAAAAAATTTTTTTTTAACGGAGTCTCACTCTGTCGACCAGGCTGGAGTGCAATGATGTGATCTTGGCTCACTGCAACCTCCACTTCCTGGGCTCAAGTGATTCTCCTGTCTCAGCTGGGATGACAGGTGCCCTCCACCATGCCCAACTAATTTTTTCTTTTTTTATTTTCTGTAGAGATGGGGTTTCACTATGTTGGTCAGGCTGAGACTTCCTGACTTCGTGATCCGCCCGCCTTGGCCTCCCAAAATGCTGGGATTACAGGCCTGCGCCACCATGCCCGGCCAGAATTACTCTTTATGTGAGCATATGGTATATGGACTTTGTTGCTTTTGAGATAAGGTCTAAAACATACATGATGTATGAAGCAAGAAGATCTCAAGCTGTGACATTCCAGAGGGATGCACTTTCTGTTGTCTAAAAGAAAAGAAAGTGCTTTCCTTTAGAGTGTTACGGTTTGGGAAAAGCAACGTTGAAGTTGATGCTGATCTTGATAATACATTCGGGGTTCTGTTTTTTTCTCTTTTTTTCTTGTTTTTTTAAACCCAGGGTCTCTGTTGCCCAGGGTGCAGTATGGTGGTAATTCCAACTGAGAGCTCTTGGACTCAAGTGGTCCTCTATTTATTCATTTAATTTTGTTTTGAGATGGAGTTTGGCTCTGTCACCCAGGCTGGAGTGCAGTCGGACAATCTCCATTCACTTCAACCCCCACCCCCCAGATTCCAGTGATTCTCCCATCTTAGCCTCCCAAGTAGCCAGGATTACAGGCGCCCACCACCATGTCCTGCTAATTTTTGCATTTTTAGCAGAGACAGCGTTTCACCATGTTTGCTGGGCTGGTTTCAACTCCTGACCTCAAGTGATCTGCCTTCTGGGCCCTCCCAAAGTGCTGCAGTAGCAGAGCTGGGTGGGAGGATCCTTTGATTTTTAAGGCCATACCATGCAGTGATCATACCTTTGAATAGTTTCTGCACTCGAGTCTGGGCCAACATAGCAAGATCCTATCTCTTCAAAAACATAGATTACATGGCACCTGGTTACACAGACTTCATTTGGTGGGTCATTTCAAACCCTGGCCTGGAATCAAGCCAAACCATGTTTCCTTCACTAAGATAGTGAGTAAGGCTCCGAGTCCATCAAGTCTATTCTGCAATCCCCAATGGATGTCAATATTAATACCATTTCTTGCTGGGCATGGTAGCACGTGCCTGTAGTCCCAGCTACTCGGGAGGCTGAAGTGGGAGGATCGCTTGAGCCCAGGAGTTCTGGGCTGCAGTGCACTATGCCGATCCGGTGTCTGCACTAAGTTTGGCATCAATACGGTGACCTCCCGGGAGTGGGGGACCATCAGGTTGCCTAAGGAGGGGTGACCCCGCCCAGGTGGGAAACGGAGCAGGTAAAAACTCCGTGCTGATCAGTAGTGAGATCGTGCCTGTGAATAGCCACGGCACTCCAGCCTGGGCAACATAGTGAGACCCCGTCTCAAAAAAAAAAAAAAAAATATATATATATATAGCATTTCTTTTTGTTTCGGTTCACTCATGTCTTTTTAGTTTAATCTGCTTGTCTGTGACCCTGAAATTTGTTTTTCTCCAACCACTCACTGTCATTTCTCAGAATAGACCTACTATTTCTCCAGGAAGGTTAGTTGATTCAACCCTCCACCATTCATGCCAGTCCTGGTAAGTTCTTTTGACTGTAGCTACCCTGGTTATCCTGTTTTCTTTGGGTAACCATTCCAATGTACCATTCCAATGGGCTAAACCTCACATCTGAATGCCAATTGCTTGGTAAGATGTCAAATGTTTGATGTGACTGATACAAGAAACTTACGTAGGCAAGACGAGTCTCAGGCACAGTGATAAACGTAGCATGGGACAAATCCACATGCCCCTTGATGAACAAGGCTAACCTGCTGAGCCTTTGAAGCAAGGAACTGGAGATGGTCCTTTTAGGGGGTTATGTTCTGTATTCCAGAAAACATGCAGACAGGGCAAATAAACCTGTCTTTAGTTTTGTGTCCATTTTAACCCGGTGAAGGAAAATTCCAATAAAAAATTCACCGTTCTGAGCGAGGAGATCTCAGCCTGTGACTCTCTGGACAGAAGCACGTTCTGTTGTCTGAGAGAAATAGAAAGTGTTTCTGTTCAGAGGATTACTGTTTGAGAAAAGCAGCGTTGGAGGTGATGCTGGTCTTGGTGACTGTCTTTGCAGAGCATGCCTATAATCAGACTTGGATGGCTTTGAAATTTTGTTTTTGTTTTGTGTTTTTCTAAGACAGGGTCTCTGTTGCCCATGGGAGTAGGGTGGCTCTTCTAACTTCGATCTCTTGGGCTCAAGTGCTTTTCTCTTTTTGGGACAGAATCTTGCTCTGTAACCCTGGTTGGAGTACAGTGGCAGGAACTCCACTCCCGGGTTCAAGTGATTCTCCTGCCTCAGCCTCCCCAGTAGCTGGGATTACAGGCGTGCGTCACCATGCCTGGCAATTTTGTATTTTTAATAGCGATGAAGTTTCTTTCTTTTTTTCTTTCTTTCTTTCTTTTTTTCTATTAATCATGCCACATGATTTTTAATTACACATAAAGATCTAACATATCACCCAGGGACCATTTCACCCACTGCTCTCTTTGGCTGTCAGTCTTTTGTCTCTCTCCAGCAATGGTGAGACAGATACCCTTTCCTCGGGGAAGAGAAATCCATGGTTTCTTGCCCTTGCCAATAACAAAAATATTGGAAATCGAGTGGCAAAGCTGTTGCCATTGGCATCTTTCATGTGAACCACATCAAAAGATCCAGGGTGCGCCTCTCTGTGGGTGATCACACTAATTCTCTCATGTTAGCACCCCCAGTCACCATACACAAGTTACCAGTGTCAAACTTGATGAAATCAGTAATCTTGCCAGTCTCCAAATCAATCTGAATGGGATCAGGGATCATTCACCTTGATGAGGGGATCAGGGCAGCGGATGGTGCGAGCATCATGAGCCACCACATGAGGGATTCCTTTTGTGCCCACAAAGATTTTTCGTACTTGGCACGATTTGTACTTGGCCTCCTCGGGTGTAATACGATGTTACAGCAAAGCGACCCTTGGTGTCATAGATCAGACGGAAATTCCCTCCCGTCTTATCAATGCTGATGACATCCATGAAACCAGCAGGGTAGGTTATATCAGTTCGGATCTTGCCATCGATCTTAATGAACCGTTGCATGCAAATCTTCTTTACTTCATCTCCTGTCAGCGCGTACTTAAGTCTGTTCCTTAGGAAAATGATGAGGGGGAGACACTCTCTCAACTTGTGAGGACCGGTGGATGGACAAGGAGCAAACACACCGGTCAATTTATTCCAGCATCCAATGCTTTGGAACTGTCACCCGCTTCAGATGCTTCTTGGGACCACGAGCC